TTCAGAGTTTTGATAAATTGTCTACGAGGCAGTAACGCAGATGCAAAATAACTGGTGCTTCTTGTGCCAATATCGTGATCACAATCTGTCAGCCTTATGTCTACGGATGTACTTGCAGTTTTGCAGATCCCATCACTAATACGTGCAAAAGTAAGCAGGAATCCAATCACAAAATAAGTAATGGTGAACTCCATAGAGTTTTAATCCAAGTCAAAAGCTGCAGAAGAGGCAGTAGGAAGTCCAAGTACAAACTTCGATGTCGATCTAAAGATTGCACAGTGGTTTTTAAAAATGGCCAACTTCAAGATTCAATTACACAGTTGACTAAAAATGACGAAATTTGACGAAAATTCACACAAACGACGAACAATAAACCAATACGCAGATCCTTGGAAACATCAAAAGCGATAAAATGGGTTAAAAGACCAGGATGGCCAGAGGAAATGTGAAAAATCAAAGATTAAAAAGCTAAAAATCTCCCGCGAAATAAAAGTCGTCTAGCTCCGACACAGCGCCCTCTATCTAACCTTCACCGACGTCTAAACACTGTTTACTCAGTGTGTCACCTCCCGAGTGAAAGTTGGAAAAAATCACTTGGGTGAAATCAAATTAGGTTTTGCCCTTCACTAGAGGGTGGGAGGTCGTGGGTTCGAGTCCTGTTTGCAGGGCGGAAGTACGAGCGAAGCTCTGCCGATCTAGTCATTTTATTCTTTATCTCTATGATATACAAGCTGATTTACCCGATCATAGATCGGGTAGGGCGTAGTGTTGGGGATGAACATTTGGGGAGTTAAATGTAAATGGGGATCATAGTTAAGGAGACATGCAGTTATAGAAAAGCAATTTCTGTGGTGTGATGCGAGGCAATTTCTGACCACTAAAACCAATTTCAGCAAAAGATCATCTTGTAAAGTTTTGAGTTTGGAGTAATTGAATCAGCTACATGTATTCTGAGCAATAGAATCATTGTTGTAGGCTACAATTTTATTCGGGGAAGAAAAAGTGGGGGGGGGGGACCAAACAATATCCCCCGTTTAAAATGGGGGGGGGGGGGGTCCCCCTGTCCCCCGTCGATTTACGCACATGATAATTATGTACCATGGCAACTGTCTGTAAATGTTCCCGTTGGTCTGTTAAATTGGCATTTTGTGAGGCAGTCGCATTTGGAAAACGCAGTGAAAAGGTTACCGTAGTACACAGGCGAAGGCTGATTGTACAGTTTTGACAATAAATCATAATGCAATAAAACGTAAAGGTGTCATTTGAAATGAAAATGTTGAGTGTTACCATAAAATTACAAACGATTAGTGGAGGAAGGTCATAATTAAGTTTCAGTATTGGACTCTTCAACAAACGTAAACTTGAACTTCTTACAATTTGCGAGACCGTCTTCGAGGAAAAAGTTGATTTAGCTTTTATTGAAGTTGGTTCAACCATCTTTATAAGAGCAAGTTTTACTCGGCCTCCGAGAAATGTTGGCTCCTAAAAGGATCCGAGACCGCAGTCTCCCGCGACACCAAAATGGCTCCACGTCCGTGGAAAAATGTGGGTGTCTTCCGCCGGGTCGGACACTTTCGTCGATTTCTTTGTGAATGCATCGATCCTTCGTTGACCCCAAACAGGCCCCCGAAATTATAACACGACACTGAATTATACGTGTCGGGCAGCGAACTCACAACGCTCAGCCTTGGTGGTGGAAGCATGGAGCTGTAAACACATTATGGAAGCAACAGCACTCTATCACGCGACGTCACATGCTTGCGCTTCAAATAGCGAGCACCGTAGACCCAACCTCGTTTCCAGGGTGTGGAGCAGGCTGCAGTACGCGTTGCCATCGACAGTTTTGCATAGCCCGGAAATACTACGCAGTGTAGACTTTCGATTGGTCAGACCGCGCAAGGCATACTTAATGTGTAGTCCTTCTGAGTTTTCGTTGCACTCGGCGCAGGGGCGGCAAGCGAAGCCTATGAAAGAATAGGGGCACTCGGTGGCCACGCACCATGGAGAAAAAATATTTTACCAAGGTCACCCCATATCACAATTTGGTGAACGCTTTGGCAGTACGGCTGAGTAGAACACGTAAACGAAACCCCTACGTTGACCTCGCTGACCTCGCACAGTCTAGACTCGCAGAAAAGCCAGCACAGGGGGCGGCCAGGCAGTCAACGTGAAAGCGCACACGACGGAAAATTCATGTGCAAAATGCTGTCACGAAAAATAGACGAAAAGGATCGCCGGTCCGTACGGGAAAATCAGGACGACCCGAAGTGTCCGACCCGGCGGAAGACACCCTCCGTATTTTTCCACGGACGTGGAGCGATTTTGGCGCCGCGGGAGCCCGCGGTCTCGGATCCTTTCATGAGCAAACATCGTCTCGGAGGCCGAGTTAAACTCTCTCTTATATATATATAGATATGCTATGACGATATTTCGCTCGTACCCCCCGCCCTGCAAACAGGACGCTGGGATACTCTGATGAATTTACGCTCTGATTGGTTGGATTTTGCGTGAGCAGTGACCTGCGCGTCATCACGGTCATGACTCTGCAAGGTTTAAAACGGCCGTTAAGACTGATTCATTACTCTTTATCAGTTTACAGATGTTTTTTTTTTCTTGTTGAAAAGCGTAATAATGTAGGAAGTTTGTAAAACTTATCTGTGTTGTAAATTTACAATTCCCATCACTCGCTCAGGCTCCGTTTTGAATCACGAACGGTCGGATTGCATTATGCGACGCTCAAAATAGGGCTCGCGCACTCGCTGTTTGCTGCCGGTGATCACTTTGTGTACAAAACGAATGCGAGCAACATACACACGCCCGGTGATTTTGTTTCAAAAAGTCGGATGTTTTCATTCCCCATTTATAAGTTAAAATTTTGAAATATTCCTCGTAATTTATAAAGATAGTTCAATGATGTAATAAACTTACATATTTTCCCATTGTGATTGTGATTTGAGTCGAAATTACACTTGTTTTTGCTGTTTGAAAAGTCTCATTTTAACTCCGAGTACGAAAAATGCTGCGCGCATGACATGTTACGTTCACGGGCCATGCGGCACGCACAGACCGGTCCATGCGTTCAAGATCCACGGCAAGAATTGTCTGCCCTGGTGACTGTGTTTAACTCGGTCTCGACGGTAGTGTAGCATAGCAGACGTCAAGAAACCATACGTCAGTCGAAAGCTTATTGAAAATGCCATTCAACCATCCACGTTCCATGATAATCGGCCTACGCGTTGCAAAGTTACGATTCTTTTTGTTTTTCCCAAAACTTTTTCATCACGAAATACATTGAAAATAATAATGAAACCTTGAAAATTGTAATTAGTGATATCAAAGCTTGAATTGCTTTTTTTTAAACCTTCAAAATATGATTGTATTTTAGAGTTATAGACACATTTGTGTCGCGATGGATTTTCATCATGGCGCCTTCTGTTTGACAGCGCGCGTCTTGTAAGCATCACTGTTTCGTTCCCGGCACGCGATAATGTAAACGCAACAGAAAATTATCACGTTTGAGATCGAGTGCAGCCAAAACATTGTCACGTGATGCGTATTATTGTCGCGTAATGCATATTCTACACTGGTTCCCTTCATGGCCCGTACGGTCAGAATATATCAGTGGATACCAGTGTAAGTCCTTCGTTTTCGGAAACCGTCCAGACTCCATCGCACGTGGTGTAAACGAAATGGAACTCGGAGTGTTTTTGCTACCGCAGTACCGGCGATCATTTCACTTTTTGCCCACATCGTAGTTCCTCGATCTTAATAATCGATCTCTCCTTGTATCTCAGGTAGCATATCTCATAACTTTGTGGCCGTTTTTGAGAGTGAAATCTGATGTTTTTGAAGTTTGTTGGGTGGCTATAGCATGTACGATTTTTGTGTACAAATGTGATGGGCACTGATGTAACGAACGTTAGGCCATTGGAATTACGCAGGAAAATCATTACGCACAGCGCATACTTTTTTTTACAAAATTACTAGGCTTATGAGATTTGCACCAAAATGGGATAAAATAACCCAAATATGAGAGAAACTTCGTTTTATAACCTAAATGGGATACCCAAGTTTTATATCTTTGTTTAAATTTTTGTCAAATTTGGGGATTTTGGGCATTGAGAATTGGACTTCGGCTTGGGCCAGTTTACACGTTTACGCATGCCAGACTGAAATTTCTCCATTTTGGCCAAAAAATTGCCCCAAAAAGTAGGTTTTTTTTTAGATTTTAGATTTTTTTGTGGTCTTTTTTGGGTCCACATGCTGTATCTACACACAATCCTTGTGTCATCCAAATTTGGTGAAAATATGTTCTAGTGAATGGAAGTTTTGTTACTTTTAGTGCTTTTTGGGTAGGACTTAGTCATTTTTCAACCTTGCCGTTCATGATTTTTAGTGTAAAAGTACATTTTTAACATTCATTTTATTGCATATCAAGTTTTTTATCAACTCAAAACCAACTGAAACCAATAGTATTTGTGATAAACAATGGACAAAAACAAGTTAAAGTTTACCAAAGTGTTTATTTACACCATAACGGATGTTCAAATATGCCTTTTTATTCAATTTCACAAAAATTCACCATTTTCGTACACATTTCCTATACAAAATAACGTCATTTGATCGACATATATTTGGCCATAACTTTGGATTGCATGGGTCAATTTTTGCAATTTTACCATCATTTGTTTTCTTTTTGGGTGGGCTTTACAATGAAAGCAATCTCTTAAACAAATACAACCATTTAAAAAAAAGTTCACTAGCCCTACTCAAAATGTTGTCCGCATGGTCCGCAATGAAACAGAAATCACATCCGGTATGGAATGCGCGCAATTCTATGAGAATTTTCGGATAGCATTTGCGCACATTGTCTAACTGCGGTCTTGAACAGCTGCAGCCAGATGCTTTATACATAGGTCATAGGCCACTTCCTTCACAAGATTCTGTGAAGCTCAGCAGAGTATCCCCAGCGTCCTGTTTGTTATTTGCAGCAGGCCTGGACGCGTGGGGCCGGGCCGGGGTTACGAGCGAATGACGATATCACAAACAATCGCTGATAGAGGGCGCTATCACACACAGACTGCATGCTATCCTTCATCCCTTCAATCAACCCGCACCGGAAAGCATCTGCCTGCATTTTGTACTTAATTAGCTGTAAAAAAGCAGAGTTTTTCATTTTTCCCCCTTATGGTAAAAACCTTCACTTTCCACATATTTTCGACTGCTGGTGAAAGTTCGTGCATCAAAGGATACGATCTGAGAGAAGGTACGTCATTTTAAAGGCGTAAGCGTTGCAAAATTTGCATTAGGGATGTTGTGCCCCATTCTTGAAAATCACGCAATCTTAAGAATGTGCGCGCATTCTTAAGAATGAGCGCCCATTCTTAAGAACGAGCACGCGTTCTTAAGAATGAGTGCTCATTCTTAAGATTGGGTGGGAATATCACATGCACAATTTATGAATTTTGCCCAATCTTAACAAACATTACACAACATAATTATGTTAAATGAAATGTAGCTGGAGTTACCCAGCCCTGAGTTTTATCATTGGGTTGTCTATAAGGGCTGGAGCGAATTTTTCTCGTAACTTGTAGTATTTGCAAAAAAATTTGGAAAATGTTCAATTTTGTCCCTGTTACACACTAATTGCAACTGCAACTCACCCCAAACTTGCCTGGAATAACCATTACACAGGTCCTTGAAGTAAAAAACGATCCACGATGAAGATTCAGCCTACAATTGCAGTGAAAACAGGAGGAATAACCGCTAACCTGACAACCTTTCAGGCATGGCCAGGACTGCTATTGGTTTGTGCACAAAAAAAATTGTGTACAATGAATGGCGGTCGATTAACAGGCACAGAGAGCGATCGCTGTCAACTACTCGTTTTTGCCGGCTGCGCTGGCGTTGGCGCGTGACGTCACGCGGAAGCGTAACACCCGATGACTGTTTCATGCACTAGTATAAGGTTTACCACTCGCATCACAGCTTTGGTACTGGAACCGCAACCAATAGTGCATGAAACAGTCATCGGGTGTTACGCTTCCGCGTGACGTCACGCGCCAACGCCAGCGCAGCCGGCAAAACGAGTAGTTGACAGCGATCGCTCTCTGTGCCTGTTAATCGACTGCCATTCATTGTACACAATTTTTTTTGTGCACAAACCAATAGCAGTCCTGGCCATGCCTGAAAGGTTGTCAGGTTAGCGGTTATTCCTCCTGTTTTCACTGCAATTGTAGGCTGAATCTTCATCGTGGATCGTTTTTTACTTCAAGGACCTGTGTAATGGTTATTCCAGGCAAGTTTGGGGTGAGTTGCAGTTGCAATTAGTGTGTAACGGGGACAAAATTGAACATTTTCCAAATTTTTTTGCAAATACTACAAGTTACGAGAAAAATTCGCTCCAGCCCTTATAGACAACCCAATGATAAAACTCAGGGCTGGGTAACTCCAGCTAAATGAAATGTATAGCGGTTAAAAGCATGAAAAGGGAAACAATTTATATAAAGAGGAAAGAAAATGTTCTATGCTTCGGTACTCGTATAACTACGATTATTTGAATCAAATTAAACCTGTTATTATTGCTTTTTTTCTGCCCACTATGGGAAGTTTTGTAATAACGGAGGACTGGGAACTAGTCTGAGAAGTGCTTTGTTTAGGCTAGACAAGTTACAAGTCCCTGTATGTATCATATGCATGCCACGAAAAAAAACGATGTCCAGAAGCTGCCAAAATTTAGCTTGAGTAACTCCAGCTGACATGCTCATATTCATTCACATGCTAGGCTAGCCCGACTGCGTCTGGCCGTACAGTACTATCGCAAGCTCTGTAGTACGGCCAGACGCCCGATGCTTCCACAGAGACTGAATTTTACTTACATACCCAGCCAGATGTTTGTCAGAAAATTATTTTCTTATTTTTCGGGGCATTTTCAAAGGGTTCACTTTGCACTTGAAAATAAAATCGGAAAATCACGCCAAAATATTTTTTTCTTTTAACTTTGTAGCGGGTAAATAAACTCGCGATTTATGAACAGGAGTGTTTATAACTTGATGTTAAAACTGTTGCTCTAGCTAGGCGCTACAGGCGAAAAATCAAAGTGCGCCACGTTAGGGGCCGCGCCACGTTAGGGTACATCCACAATACACGAGGAAAGTCAGGTAGGCTTCGAAGTGCGCCACGTTAGGGAACATGACTATATTTCGGGTACTGGGGAATTTGGCAGATTTTTGAAGCGCATTTAGCAGAATTGAGTCATGACCTTACGGTCACCTAGGCCTAGGCCTGCAGCCGTTTTTCCTTGTTCCGGATTTTTCCTAGTTCTGGATAGCTTCAAATAAAAACCTACCTCTTTTAGATAAGTCTCCAATAATTTTTTTTTGGACGATGTGCATTTTGAAAAGGAACATGTAAGGGCACAGCTCTTCCATCGAATGTTTGTTGAATCAAAATTAGTTGTAAAGTCTCTAATTTTTGAAAATTTGCCAACTGACTGTATGACTGTATGCTTTTGCCTAGTTCCTGAAAGCGCGTGCACTTACGACCCAACTACACGTACGCGCGTTAATCGATTTTGTGTGACGTATCGTATTCTGTGCTGGGTCAAAGATTTTCGGTCCGTGCGTGAGTTCGAGCCATTGCACTGCAGACAAAAGTTTCAAAATCATTTACATTTTTTTCTCTTTTTGAAATTTGGACTATTTTGCGCACAGGCGTATAAATACCAATTTTTATTTTTGAACAATGTCTTACTCTTGGGGTAGAAATTTGGATTTTCGTACACGGTTCACGGTTGGTGCCGTGCGATTCATCACACCTTGTGCGTTCACTGTACATCACTAACATCTTGCGGTGATCGCCATCTTTATTTTCGTGTACTAGTTTGGTAGGTCAATTCATTTAAAAGTGGAATTTGTTCCCTTAAGAGGAACCGGGCCCATTTATGGAACTAGAGTAATTCCAGCTAGCTGACATGCTCATCAGATGTGAATTCCTGATAAGCATGTCAGCTGGAGTTACTCAAGGTGGCTTAATGGTAACCCTAGTCTATGGCCCACACTGGAGTAGACTCTGCATTAGACCCGTGAACATGGCTATACATAACCACGCTCTAGAGTTTCGTAGAAACACTGGGCGCACGAGATTGTACAGGTACCCAGACCCGGACGGCTCCTACCATTTCGCGTGTGCATGACTCGGAGTACCAGCCTACCATGCGTGACCTCAGAAAATCAAAAGTTTAGTCTCTCATACATTTGTTGTCGTGTCCAGGTATTTTTTTTTTCCCTCAAATTTCTTGGAAATGCAAGAACCTACACTCGCGTGAATTCACAGGAAGCTTCATAAGTATGGCGAAATAAAAAAAAAAACATGTTTAGCGTCCTGCCTTTTTGAAACTCCTTTTTTTCCACTCCAAAATGGCCGCCCTATTGGGCTATTTTTTAAGGTGGCCGCCACTTCTTTTTTAAATGGCCGCCATTGGACTCAGGAAATGACATTACAGCTTTACATGGGCTAGATGCAACAGATAAAGGGGCCAAAATGATATCACTGCTGAAAATTTATCATTTTTTTGCGGTTTAAATATAAAAAAAGGGGGAGGCGGCCTCCAAAAAAGAAGCGGGGGGGGGGTGTTAGATATGTTTTAATTTTTATTTCGCCTAAGTACTTAAAAATACTGGTGAAATGACATGCGTGTGATAAATTTGAGTGTTTTACGTGAGGACTTTACAACACCACACTCACTCTGCATATGCTGGGCAGTGTTGTAGTCGAGTACTTTTTTCCGAGTACCGAGTACTGCCGAGTACTTAGGTTGCCGAATACGAGTACGAGTACTTGTACTTCCGAGTACAAGAACAGGTCTCCGATTACGAGTACTTGTACTTCCGAGTACAAGTACTTGTACTTCCGAGTACGAGTGCGAGTACTCGCATTTCCGAATATGGCCATACGGCAAATGGTTCATTGTGTGTAATTGGCCCAGGCCCAGTCAGACCGATATACAGACCCACTCACGGCTAGCTGTTAAATGTGTTTGTCTGGACATGCACAGAAGAAAATCAGGAAATCTTGATTTCTCAACAAGCCAATCAACCATTTCAAACTGAAAGTATCGATAAAATAAGGCCATGGTACATGTAAGTGAATGTTCATCGCATAATGCGATGAGCATTGGAGCTCGAGTTACTGAATCTAGAGTTCCCCGTGCTTCCTTCTTGTGAAATTTGTCTCTTATTAAAAATTGATTTGTCCACCCATGGTCAACCGTAGCAGTTCATGACAGGCAGCTACAACGTCGACCCCAGGGTGTCAAACAGTATGCGCCCATCACTACCTGCTCTCTCACCCTGGTATTGGATCATTTGCATGTGCAAGATTTTTGAACACGTATGCAAATGAGGAATAGTCTGGTGCCTGGATATGCGTTACAATAGCGTTTGTTTCTGTATGCGGTGTCTGGGGTAAAAACAGAGTAATTTCGTTGCAGTGCGAGCGCGGCGTGAGTTACAAAAACTGTTACGATTTTATCGAGACAACATGCAGTATCATATTTCATAAGAATATGAGCAAATTGGAAAGGAAATTAGTATTTTCGAGAAGTCGTGGACAAATGATAGCAAAAACACGTACTGCACGTTGTGAATAATAGCACCAAGTACACGATAAAAATCCATTACTAGCCAATTGCGGTATCGAATCAGGATACAGGAAGAAAGTTTCCTATCCAGGGCTTACTATTGGAAACGTGGTTGGAAATAAAGTGAGCACTGGGGACGAGGTCGAGGCAGCTATAGTATAGTACTAGCCAAGTATAAGTAGTCTGGTTCTCCGACCAAAATATTTCCCTTTCTTTAACGTACACACGTGAAGGGCACCACTCTTGGTATATAAAAAAAGCCAGCCAATCACAGTGCCGCACGCCTCGATTGAGCATACATCATCAAGACGCCCGCACTGTGATTGGCTGGCTGTTCTGATCCCACACGCAATTTTTTTTTCCGATATGATACCGCCATAACCAGATGCGGTGCCTTTCATGCGTGTACATTAAAGAAAGGGAAATATTTTGGTCGAAGATCCAGTTTAAACATTAGGCTGTTGATTAGTTTAAGTGTACTGTAAGACAATGGGGTCAGGGAACCAGACGAACTGTGATTGGCCTGTCTGATGCAAACCCTGTCAATCGCAAGCGATCTTCATGAATGTGTAACTTCTCCATGTTGCTCAGTACAGAACACAGATTTTTGTCATCATTGGGACCGA